TGAGCTCTGCTGACCCCGCCCCTCTCTTCCGAGCCGCTCTCTGAGAGACTGTTTATGTCAGCCGCATTCATTGTGAAACTTGCTAATTAGCACATTATTAGGAAAGGCGAATTGCCATGATTCGTTAAAAAAACCTTACACTCACTTCTTCTGTTGGTGAAGCTGGATTGCGAATGATTCGTGCGAACATAGACGCATTTATGTAGATCGGGGGCGCATTCCCTTCAGAAACAAACATAATCCACTGCGTCTTCAGTGACTTCTGCATGTAGCATCCTATGACCCCTTTAAGACAGATTCATTCCTAACCATAATGAATGTATGTATTATCTTGTCAAATTCTTAAATTCAGATAAATATACGTGCAAGTATGCATGACATATGCACCTTTTTTTTTTTTGAGAGAGAGAGAGAGAGGTGTCAAAAATGTATTTACAATGCAATTACAATTTCATAAATGTTAATCACAATGCAATACAAGATTACTTGTCAAACAAATACAAAAACTTGAAATCACATAGAGATTGCAGAGTGTACATGATATAGTAACATTACTTCCAATAATCTTGAAAATAGATTGGTATTAATAATACAACACAAACTCTGTGATGCGACAAAGTCATACAGGGACGATTCATTTCTTGATCTTGGGGACATTTTTATTGATTTTCGTGGCATTTCCAACCTTTCACACCAACACCAGACTAACTAGTAAAGTGTTATGTGTTGCACATTTTATTGGTGCAGAGATGAGTATGTGTACTTTGTAAAGAGTTTGCATCTAGCACTTATGCACCACCATTAAATTCTGTCATCTGTCGCATACATACCAATGAACAGACATTTAGACGTTTATGTTAATGTGCAAAGCACTGGAAATTAAAATGTGTGAATTAAGCTCTCTAAAAACTTTTGTTTTACCGCATTGACCTCTGTCCCATCATCACACTTGTGGTCTTCATGTGCACTGGAACACAAATACAGGAAGAGCGTCATGTAAACATGAGCAGACCGCAGCTGTGGGTATATGGGGACGGGCCCTTGGTTTCAGTGTGGGCTAAAGGAGGGTCTGACCATATGCTTTTTAACCATTAAGTAATTATCGAAATGTATTATGCTTGTTTTCCCAATTCTTAAACAAAATACATATTTTTTTTTATTATTAATTATTTATTTACTTATTTAACCAGGAAGGTCCTGCTGAGATGCGAGATGAGATAGTTGGAGTCAGAGCCGCGCATGCGCAGTCGGACGGAGGCATAGTCAGAGCTGCGCATGCGCAGTAGGACGCGCAGCGGCAGCATGGCGGAGCCCGCACAGAAACACGCGCTGGAGATGGTAAATCAAACTTCATTATTGACGCATTCTGTTTTTATGATTTTATTATATGTCAATATAGAAGACTTCGCATCCTCTACGGACAATTCTGGGTCAAATGCGGCAGTTCTGAGTGTTGTTATAGTAGACCGTGTCGCTACAGTGCGGGTTTCCTCGTGTTTCCAGAGCAGATCAACATTATACTAACACAAAACAAATGTACCAGATCTACATTAATAGTATTGACTTGCCAACGTCGCGAAACTTTATAATTTAGCTTCAAGAGAATATATAAATGCTGTATAACCCAGATGAGCGAACTCAAGGCAACAGAGGCGAACGCATAACTTAAAACAGAAAACAAATACTATTTGTAGATAAATATTAGGCCTACTTTATATATATATATATATATATAAATGGGGTTGTCAGTAAAATAAATGAAAACTAGAATTAGACATTCCATGTAGGTGTACAATTCTTCCTCCGGCACAAGTTATTGTATTAGAGCAGTAACTGTAAATGATTATCATATGCAAAAATCATATGTAATATTACTATGTGCAGATGAACGAATGTGCTAACATTTAGAGTTTAACAAAACTCAAATTGAATTCAGCTGGACACACTTTCCTGTTTATCACAACAAATGGCCAAGCAAAGCGCACGACACTGACAAGGTACGCGATACAGTACGAGACCAAACGCCATTAGTTTGTGTTCATTTATTTCAGTTTTTAATTTAGCAATTTTAACTTTTACATTTTAAAGTTGTAGCCTGTTTTTTAATTTTTAAAAGCAAGTGTTTTTGTCTTGGAACATGATATTTATATGTTAACCCTTATTTTGCACATAAAGTCATTCACGTTATTTTGCCAAGCAGAAGTGATTCATTAGCAGTTACGGGTAAATAACTAGAAACATAACTGTTAACACTATTAGTGCTACAAACCAGTGTTCATAATTACAACAATGCATTCAAAGAAGATAAGAAATATCAGTTTGCAACATCACAAGCTGTTTTGTTCAGCCAATATAATAGTTGAATTAAAGTTAAGGTGGATAGCAGAGATACTGTACATTCATGTTTGTTTTCATAGCCTTCAATTTGCACATTGTTTGGAGGACAACATTATGCATGTGGAATAATGTGTTTTTTAAGTAATAAAAAAATAAAATAAAATTCCAATTTATCAAATCAAGTGATCAATGAATCAGTCATAAAAAAACAGTGTTGCAGCTCTAGTTCAGTCATGTGAAGATTATTCAGATTTAAAAACTCAGTTTAATCTGTAGAGAATGTCACAAACACTTGTTGCATCCGAAAGTAGTTGCTCTTAAAAAAAACCCAGCTGTGAAAACTTCTCAACCCGAAACGGTTCTTCTGCCCTGAAACAAAGCGCTTGGCTTCAGTTTATGAGAAATAATAAAAATATGTGCATTAATAATACACGGTGAATGGTTTGGAATTAATGCATATACAACAAACTATATGAGGTGAATCCAGTAGTAAATGAAAGAAGTAACTACTGTTTTGAAATAGATATGACGGGTCGTTTATACAAGAATTGCACATTCAAGACTCACTCATTCATATTTCACTCAGAAAATATGCTAAAAGACATTTTTAAGAAGGTCTTTCCAGGAAGAACTTTAGAATTTTTCTCACTGATTAAATTGAAAGATTCTATCTGATTGTATCAGTTCTGTTGCTGTTACTTGTATGTTTTTGTAGCGACTGCTTCTTAAGAAAATGTTATATTGTTGTAAATGATGTATGGAAATGATACTGTTAATGTTGCCATGAATATAGCTATTGTTGCTGATACATACATGCATGCATACAGTCAACCCAAAAATTATTCAGAGAGCAGATATAATTTTTTATATTTTATTGTACTAGTGGGTGCAGGACACTATAGTTCATTTATGTAAGTGAGGATAGCAAAATAAAGTAAACCGTGACATATTATACCCAAAACTAACGGTAAAATTTGGGACCTAAAATTATTCAGAAGCTTTGACCTGAGCATGTTTTTCTTTAATTGCTAATGCGATGTTTTTCCACCACAGACTGAACAGAATGAAGCATTGCTTGGTAATTAGTTGAGCTAAATTGGTATTATCTAATTGTGTTCAGCTGAATTCATTACATACCTTTCTATCAAAGTTATCCGACATCATCAAGCTGAATTAGTTCTGACACAGTTTAACTCCGAGTTCTTTTTCTCAACTGTGATAATGTGGGCATTCTGTGTGAATAATGTATTGTTTGGTGCATGATCAGCAGCCGTGTGTTTCTGTGACTCTGGAGTGCAGATGGGTGATGTTTGTGTTTCAGGTGCGGACGGACGGCGCAGACGAGGGCTGTGTGACGTTTGTGCTTCAAGAAGAGGATCACACGCTGGGAAACTCGCTCCGATACATGATCATGAAGAGGTCAGACTAAACACGACTCGCGTCTGCTTTCGATCGGCTCTCCCTCGTTTAGCATTGCCTTCGTGACATCAATGAGACGTTTCTGCCGAGATGAGTGCTAATTAGGGCTGTGCGATTTGGGGGAAAATATCAAATTGCGATTTTTTTGACAGATATTGCGATTGCGATTTGATTTGCGATTTTAAATTTGCAAAGTCAAGCTTCAGCTCAATATATATATATATATAAATACACACACATGCATGTATGTTTAAGAAAAATGTGTTATGTTTAGGGTTGCAAAAAGGTGAAAAATTTCCAGTAAATTTCGGAAATAAATTTACCGGAAATTTTCCACCCCTTTGCAAACCTAGTTATGTTTATATATTAAATATATTTATATATAATATAAAATATAATAATGTAAATGTATATACATGTAAATATTTTCAAAAGATATGCTGTATGTGTGTGTGTGTTTATATATACATAATAAATATACACAGTACACACGCATATATTATGTAAACAAAAACTTTTATTTTGGATGCAATTAATCGTTTGACAGCACTACTCTTTACTTAAAAAAAAAACTATGTCTAAAAAGGGTAATATTTTAAGTATTTGAGGTCTGAGATGTGGGAACGGTGAAGAGAGAGAGAGGGCAAACATTTAGCATTTTAGGTCTAATCAGCCAATATTGTCTTAAATAGCCTGCATAGCAGTTATAGCGCCACCTATGGTCCAATCTTGATGACACTTTGCATGATTGTTAAGAGTTATCTGCCAAATGTTTTCACCAAGTTTCGTACAATTTTGAGTTTTTGTTTAGGTTTTATAGGCTTTTGGGTATATATGGCCAAGCCCCTTTTCTAAATGACCCCGTTATAGCTAAACAAAAAAAAATAATTATTGATCTAGAGAGTCCAGAGAATTGTTCTGCAGTGGTTTGACCGAGATTGAGCGAAAAACCTAGGACTAGTTCGCAAAAGTAGGTTTTTAATACAATGGAGAATAATTAATGAAAGATTTGATTGACAGAAGTGGTTCTTGAGGCAAAGTTTCTCAGCATGAAGAGATCTATCAAATGATATGAAGATTGAGTGTATGTGTGAAAAATCATGCCTTATACAATCATTTATGAACTTGAAAAATGCAATTTCGCCCGCTAGTGGCCGATTTCTTTCAAAATTCTTACAGATCTTTAGGGCCATGGGTCGAACATGCCCACCGAGTTTCGTTTTGATCTGCCTCCGTTAACCTTGTCTAATAAGTGCTCAAACTTCATTGGCCGATGGCAACCATGTTTTTTGAGATACGCCAATGTCCTCATAGACACTTATGGCACATTGGACAAAGACACTGCATACCAATTTTCGGATCAATTGGACTAATGCTTGCGTAGTTATAGGCATTTTTATGTTTTTTCCATTATAGCGCCACCAAGTGGCAGAGCTGTGCATTATTTTTTTTTTGACCAAAGATTGAGCTCTTACACAGGCGTACCAAGTTTGGTGAAGATATCTCATTCTGTTCATGAGTTATAGTCATTTTAGTAAAATTGGCCCCGCCCCTTATGAATGTTTTGGCGTCCCTATGCGACGGTGAGTCAAAATTTCAATATGATAATATTTCAATGATAATTATTGATATTCACTGTCCAGAGAATATTTCTGCAGTGGTTTGGTTTCGATCAGCCGAAAAACCTAGGACTAGTTCACGAAAGTAGGTTTTTAATTTACTTCAAAATGGCGGGAAAACCGGACCTCGTAGAGCGAATCTGACTTTCTAGGTTTTTGTCCGCCTTGACCCAAGGATTCCAAAAGTATAAATATTTTTGAGTCTATGACAAACGGTCTAGGAGATATGAGCGATTTCACATTTTTGTTCACTGTAGCGCCCCCTATTGGCCGATTGGTGTGAGTCTTTGTCAGGTCTCCCCAAATTGAGTCTCTAGGCCTTTCGGTTTGGTCTGCACGATCAGTTTTACGGCGGAAAAATAATAATACAAATCCTTACAATTACAATAGGGTTTCAGCACTACCTGCTTGAACCCCTAATTTAAAAAAAACCTTAAAGTATCTACAAAAGAGCATGTAAAGCAAATGTCTTCAAAAGAAATTGTGTGTGGATCTTCTCACCTGTTTGCATCTGTGTATCAGCAGAGGAGTGTGTGTGTGTGTGTGCGTGCGTGTGTGCGTGTGTGTGTGTGTGTGTGTGTCAGCAGTGTGTAGTCTGAGGCGTGTGGTTTGTTTCTGCAGTCAGGACGTGGAGTTCTGTGGCTACAGCATCACACACCCGTCAGAAAGCAAGATCAACTTCCGCATTCAGACGCGAGGTGAGAGACTGCTTCATATCTGAAACACAGAGCTGAAACACTAACACATATAATCATACCCATCTTTCTGTAGCACAGAGCTGAAACACAGCAGCTCTCACTTGGTTTTGTTTAGAAATGGCATAGCTCTTATCAGTTCCATTAGTGCAGTATTGAAGCAGTGAAACTAAAACACTCAAAATGAGTAATATAATCATAATTCCTCTAGTGCAGCGTTATAGCCTTGTGGTATCTATGATTGTTTCCCATCTTTTTTTTGTCATGCAAAGCACTGATTATCAAGCATCAGAATGAAGATGCGGTGCAGTTATTGAAGCTCAGGCTGTTTCTTGTAAGCACTTATGCATCTCTAGTAACATATAAGTGAAATCAGAATAGCGCTGAAGACCCAGATATACTTCATGTGAAATCAAAGAATGTCATTTCAAACAAAGTCAGGCCAAAACAAAGTTTGATTAGAATTTAAGGAGTTTAAAAAAAGCTTGCCAAAGCAATCCTTGAAAAAAATAGATAAATAAATAAAAATCCATATGACATAACACAACCACATTAAATGACATACATGTCCGCATCCCTATGATCAGATGCTTTTTAACTGCTGCAAATCAAATACTTTAAAATAGTAGTAAATAAAATAAAAAGTGTCATTCTCAAAGTCTAGTTCTTCTAATTGTGGTTTGGTGCTGATGTGCAATAAAGCTGTTTTCAGATCATGATGTGAAACACTCTCACGTTGAGCCTCAGTCAGTTGTGATTTACATTTATAATGTAAACTTAGTGTAGTTGTTCTCTGAAGTGCTCGACGGAATGATAGATGAATAAACAGAATATGCTACACACACAGCAAATAAAACATGATTAGGTTCTTAGGAAAATTTGATCTTTTCACGGTTTTAAGACTAAAAATTAATTTTAGATGAGATGTTAAAAATCAGCGTAAGCTCATTGAATATTGAAATCCCACAAATCCTACATTTGATCACTCTTTAAAAGAAAGGAAAAGTAGATTTAAAACTATTATTGAGCTTTTCCCCCAGTTAAAATCATCCTAGTGGAAGAATTTCTCTTGTGTGACTGAATCCCAGATATGCCGCATGTTTATTTCAGTGAACAGAACAGGGGGCTGTTTCATAATAGACACTAAGAAAAGTGAGGATTAAAGTCCAAAACCTTACTTAACCTAAAAAAAAAAAACGGATCAGGTTCGATTTCGATGTGTTTTTCGCATCCCTAACAAGCATTTTGATAGGAAAGGATGACGAATACGAAAATACACATACGAAAATTTCGGACTCTTTCTAAATGTTAGAAAGTCATGCAAATATATAAATTTTTGCATTATATTTCCATTTGTTGTTGGACATTAAATGTGACATATGTAGAATTTTAATCCTACATACAAGTGTATTTTTATGATAGCAGCACTTGTAAAATGTTTTCATAAAAAAAAAAAAAAGGTAATTAAATCTCGGGCGCAATGCATTAAATACAGTTGGTTGTAGCCTAAATTTTTATTTATGTGATTTAAGTTGCATATTCTGTATACTTTTATTTCTGGACTGATAATAAAGTAAAATAATGTGTATGTGAGAGAGTCAGCGGCAAGTAATATTAATGCATTCCTGAGCTTAAGCTTTGGTCATTTTGCTTTTGGAAACCAAGTCAGACTAACTGAAACAAGCCCGGCTTATTTGGTAAGCTAGTTTTATGACACAGCCCCAGGAGTATCGCTAGATCTGTGATCCCTGTGTTCATTATCTCTCTGATGCTGTGCAGACGGGATCGCAGCGTCTGAGCCTCTGCGCAGCGGCCTGAACAGCCTGACTGAAGTCTGCAGACATGTGCTGCACACCTTTGAGGTTTGTCCTGCTGCGCGTGATTTGAAACACAATAACTAAAATAATGATTTATTGTTGTTGTGAAATGAAAGTTCTCAGATGTGACCCTGGA